ATCATGATCATTAACATCATCATCGTCATCATCAATATTATCATTATCATCGTCAACATCGTCATCACCATTACTATCAAGATCATCATCATCATCATCATCATCATTGTTTACGTGTCTATATAACTTCTCCCATTCTCAAATCTATCATAAGACTTAGACAGACCACCTTATTCGTCCTCGTGACGAATTAAATTCTAGTTATTCTTTATTTTTATTTATTTCCTACACTTTTTTGTTCATATAGGATAACTCAAGATTGGTTGTGTTAATTTCTTTCAATTTCGACACAGTGATAGGTCATTGTCATGAGACGTGACAGGAACATTTTCAAGGTCATCAAGTCATCGTGACGTCATCCAGGCGCCATTTTGTGGAATCACATTATCCATCATATCTTCATCATGCATTATCAAAGGTCATTCATATTAATATCATATATACTTCAGGTAAAGGGTGAACAAGTCATGTCATCAAAGGTCACATAAAGGTCATTACGCGCACGTACGCGCGCGTCAAAATTTTAAAATGCTCAAAATCACTTAACTATTAAACGAGAGTACGAATAAGGTCATTTTAAGCATTTCAAAATTTTCCGTCCGTACGTGTCCCCGCGCGCGTTAGGCGCGCTCACGGCGCGCGGAAAAAGTCAAATTCAATTTTTTGTTTACATGATTTAGATTCCTCTTACCGTAAATGACAATTTACAGTAATTTCAGTTACTCTTGATCTTTCATAAGGCCGTGAGCGCGCGTCAAAAATCGAAATCCGCGCGTGCTGCTATGGGCAATATAATGCAAATTTGATCAAAAACATCCCATTTTAAAAATCAAAATAGCTCTTCAGATAGTCAATTGACCCCAACATTTATATCATGGTTAGAAAAAGCATGAGTTGGAGATGTGATTTCATGTGTCATTTGACCCTCAATTAACTCATGACGTCATCATAATGGCCTCCGAACTCAAAATTTCAATTTGCATATTATGACGTCAGCAGATTTTTGAAAAATTGATTGTATCTCTGTAAATTTTGATCAATTTTCTTTCAAATTTTGATATGTTTTAGCTGAGACAATTCTCTACAAATGCAGTCGTCACGATATTTCATTTTGACAAAGGCATCATGGCGTATTTTTGCGATTAAAGGAGGCATGTCAATTTTTCACATTTTGCGTGTATTCTCTATGGGACATGACTTTTTCTCAAACTGGATTCTACATTCTCATCTTTCGCGAGCAATATCTCCGTCGTTTTATCTTTGTCTACGCTGAGCTTTGAGTATGTTGTAGCTGAGACAATAAGCTATCATAAGTGTGCCTTTTATTTTTCGATCAGATGCCAAGATCATGCTCATATTTCACTTACAATGTGGGATTTGAGAATTAAATTTTCCGTTTACGTGTAATCTCTATGGGAAATGTTTTGGTATATCGGTAACGCACTTGACTTCCGACCTAGAGGTCCCTGGTTCGAGTCCGGGAGTCTCCAACAATTGTTTTTTTCCATTTTTTGTTGTTGTTGACTTTTTAATGATCATCAAATTGAAAACAGACCACCTAATTCGTCCCCATGACGAATTAAATTTCTAGTTATTCTTTATTTTTATTTATTTCCTACACTTTTTTGTTCATAAGATAACTCAAGATTGGTTGTGTTGATTTCTTTCAATTTTGACACAGTGATAGGTCATTGTCATGAGACGTGACAGGAACATTTTCAAGGTCATCAAGTCATCGTGACGTCATCCAGGCGCCATTTTGTGGAATCACATTATCCATCATATCTTCATGATGCATTATCAAAGGTCATTCATATTAATATCATATATACTTCAGGTCAAGGGTCAACAAGTCATGTCATCAAAGGTCACATAAAGGTCATTACGCGCACGTACGCGCGCGTCAAAATTTTAAAATGCTCAAAATCACTTAACTATTAAACGAGAGTACGAATCAGGTCATTTTAAGCATTTAAAAATTTTCCGTCCGTACGTGTCCCCGCGCGCGTTGCGCGCGCTCACGGCGCGCGGAAAAAGTCAAATTCAATTTTTTTTGTTTACATGATTTAGATTCCTCTTACCGTAAATGACAATTTACAGTAATTTCAGTTACTCTTGATCTTTCATAAGGCCGTGAGCGCGCGTCAAAGTTCAAAATCCGCGCGTGCTGCTATGGGCAATATAATGCAAATTTGATCAAAAACATGCCATTTTAAAAATCAAATAGCTCTTCAGATAGTCCATTGACCCCAACTTTTATATCATGGTTAGAAAAAACATGAGTTGGAGATATGATTTCATGTCTCATTTGACCCTCAATTAACTTATGACGTCATCATAATGGCCTCCGAACTCAAAATATCTATTTGCATATTATGACGTCAGCAGATTTTTGGAAAATTGATTGTATCTCTGTAAATATTGATCAATTTTCTTTCAAATTTTGATATGTTCTACCTGAGACAATTCTCTACAAATGCAGTCGTCACGATTTTTCATTTTGACAATGGTATCATGGCGTATATTTGCGATTAAAGGAGGCATGTCAATTTTTCACATTTTGCGTGTATTCTCTATGGGACATGACTTTTTCTCAAAATTGGATTCTACATTTTCGTATTTCACGAGCGATATCTCCGTTGTTTTAGCTTTGTTTTCGCTGAGCTTTGAGTATGTTGTAGCTGAGACAATAAGCTATCACCAATTTGCCCTTTATTTTTCGATCAGATGCCGGGATCATGCTCATATTTCACGTACAAAGTGGGATTTGAGAATTCCATTTTTCGTTTACGTGTAATCTCTAAGGGAAATGTTTTGGTATATCGGTAACACACTTCACTTCCGACCTCGAGGTCCCTGGTTCGAGTCCGGGCGTCTCCAACAATTTTTTTTCTTCACTTTTTTTCTTTTTGACCTTTCACTGTACCATCTCCTTTGAATATTAAAACACGTACAATCGCAAATAATGTAATAAACAACCATATTTACTTTATTATTACCCTATTATCACTTGATCCATTATTCTTCATTCATCAATTCATATCTCAATTAATACATCATTTTACATTAACTTAATTTATTGGGTAATTGAATTGAAGATGAGCATGATCATAAGAATTGAAGACAGACCACCTAATTCGTCCCCATGACAAATTAAATTTCTAGTTTATTATTATTCTTCCTCGAATTTGTTCGCAGGATATCTCAAGACTGAATGAAGCCATTGTTATGAATCTTTCAATGATGATAGATCTTAGTCTAACTTAGAAGTGCGTGACTTTTCAAAGACTCAAAGTCATCGTGACGTCATCCAGGCGCCATTTTGTGAAAATCAACTAATGATCATATCTTCATAACGGATAGTAATTTTTCATTCATATTTATCATGATTAAGATCAATATCCGTCCGGTTAATTTTAGGTCAATAAACGTGCGTAAACGCGCGCGTACACGTTCGTGCGCGCGTTAATGCATGCGTATATAAAATTCATTGTAACTCTTTGGAATAGATAGAAACTCCTAATGTTTTTTCATATTTGGATAGATTATGAAATGGAGATATGATTTCATGTCTCATTTGACCCTCAATTAAGTCATAATGTCATCATAATGGCCTCCAAACTCAAAATTTAAATTTGCATATTATGACGTTTGCATATTTTGGGAAAATTGATTGTATTTCTGTAAATATAAATTGTTTTTCTCCTAAATTTCGATATGTTCTAGCTGAGATAATTTTCTACAAATGCAGTGTTCACACCTTTCCAGTTTGACAAAGGTATCATGGCGTATTTTTGCGATTAAAGGAGGCATGTCAGTTTTTCACATTTTGCGTGTATTGTCTATGGGACATGACTATTTCTCAAAACTGGATTCTACATTTCCGTCTTTCGCGAGCAATATCTCTGTTGTTTTATCTTTGCTTACGCTGAGCTTCGAGTATGTTGTAGCGGAGACAATAATGTGCCTTTTATTTTTTGATCAGATGCCGGGATCATGCTCATTTTGCACTTGCAAAGTGGGATTTGAGAATCCCATTTTCCGTTTACGTGTAATCGCTATGTGAATTGTTTTGGTATATCGTTAACGCACTTGACTTCCAACCTTGAGATCCCTGGTTCGAGTCCGGGTGTCTCCAACAATATCTTTTCTCACTTTTTTTTCCTTTTGACCTTTCATTGTACCATCTCCTTTGATTATTAAACACGTAGATTCGCAAATAATGTAATAAACAACCCTTTTTACTTTATTATTACCCTATTTTCACTTGATCCATTACTTTTTGCGTGTTATCCCTATGGGAGATGACTTTTTCTCAAATCTGGATTCTACATTCCTGTCTTTTACGAGCAATGTCGCCGTTATTTCTGCATGGATTTTGTTGATTTTTGAGTATGTTGTCGCTGAGACTTTATGCTATCTAAATCAACCCTCATTTTTGTAATAAGATGTCAGGATCGCGCTCATGATCATGATCATTATCATCATGATCATTATTATCATGATGATAATCTTTTATCAATTACATTTTCATTTCTTTGAATAAGATAAAATCGTCAAAATGTGTTCTTCATGATGTAAATTAGAGTCAAAAGTGTAACTGGTTACTGTACAGGGTCAAAGGTCATATATTGTTTTAATCTATCTTCCCTAGATCCCTGATCAAGGGGACGCAATTTAAACTTGACATATGGATAGATCATAATAGGAAAAGCATTTTATAAAATAATATATCGTGTAATGCATTATTCGTTATGTAAACCATTATCATACGTATCACCTAATTCGTCTGAGTGACGATTTAAAGTCTAGTTTGTTGTTGTTGTTGCTCATTACGTCATTGTCCCTGGAAGGTGAGCCCCCTGGAATGTTTGCCCCCCCCCCCCCACCAATCCCAAACTGCTTCAGGCGCGTCTGCACGCGAAGGTTTTTTTTTATTACATAAAAAGCGATTGTAAATATGGGAAACAGACTTGTTTCTGTGATACACAGTTTTATTGCTGACACGGTCCGTTCTTTTTTAATTATTCCACTTCCAGACACTTGTACGTTTGACATGGATCCACCAAATGTGTCATGTTCAAATGTAACGACAAAACTTTTCCTAGTAAATTCCTTTCTCGGACTGGGTTTTGGAAGCGAATACACCAACGTGGATGATAACTATGACCCAAGTGGTGTCTCGTACAACGTCACAACGGGTAAGGACGGAGACTTGTTCCCTCCAGGACACACACCTGTTACACTGTTCGCAGAAGATACTTGTCAGAATGTAGCTACTTGTCTCTTCTATGTAGAGAACACACGTAAGTATGAACATTTAATGCTAGTTCCCGGCCATTTTTAGGTGGCCGTTAAATAAAGTACTATGATATTTAATTCAGCACATACATCATGTATTATCAGTCTAAATCAGAGCCTTATTTAGTCACTCAATTCAGCGTTTCGAAATGGTTTGTAATGGTTGATTGCCAAAATGCAGTTACTTGACCATTCCACATAGAGAACTCACGTACGCCTTTCATCATGCTTAGTCTATTAGTAAAATATATGTATTTTCAGCATAATAGTTTTGTGTCATATAATTGTTCCACAAGTCACAATGTTCCCCCAAAACAGTTGCAAAATTATGAATAGGGCAAGAAATGCACAGTATGTGGCATATCGTGAAGGCATCCCATCCAGCAAAAATATGATTGTTTATAGTTGCATTGAGATTCAATTTAGGATATCATTTATTATACACATATACAAATAATTATCAACATTAAAGGGACTGTGTAACATTGTTCAGATGAGAGATAGTGACGCTAAGGTAGTGACTCCAATGCTAGATGTACAATTAAAGATAATCTGACAATTTGAGTGATAACGGATCATTCATGATACAAATTGGGAAAAACTGATCTGATCGATTCCTTAATTCTCCCAACTATATTATTCTACTTCTATTCTGCTACTTGTCAAAGCCTGTTCAGCATCAAGACAAGGACAATTTGATTACATTTTAGGTGAATGTAAATCGTCACAAAGAAATAAAATGGCTCTACATTCCATTCCAGACAGTTAAGATTTGTATAGCCTGTATTATGTATTTTTCTCATGGAAAAACGGTTGGGAAAATTCAAAAATGGTTGGGAGAATTAACTGTTAATCACTGTTAGAGGGTGCCTTACATCGACGCCCTCATAGAAAACCATAGATATCTTTGTGGTTTGAGAATTTGTTCAGGATTTTTTGCATGTCAGAGGGTTAGTATAGTAGAAGGAAAATATTAAGTAACATTTTATACAAAAATTAAGCAATTTTTTTTCATCAACCTTCAACAATGTTACCGAGTCGCTTTAACTAATTTTTGTCTTCATTTTTTTACATTTTGGATATTTTGGCAGTTACCGAGTTGCCTGTGAATTGTCCAGACTTGAATCGCAATGTAAGCACAGATGTGAACAAGGCGACGTATACCTTTAACCCAGATTTCGGAGCAGATGACGTCACCAAATCTGCAAGTAGTTACAGATATCACGGAGGTGGTGTCTCGGTTAGTCTTACACTAGGAGGTTCCCCATTTGGAAGCAGTGTGTCCATAGGAACCCATGACGTGTTGCCCTCATCTATGATGACGTATTGAATAAGACATGCACAGGAATCTATATTATTACAGGTAATCTTTGTGATACGATTTCCATCACGTTTTTGTGAGGAAGTATAATTCACCATACCATGAAGTTTCTTCTATTTTATTGTGAAAGATTGCTGTGGTAAAGGTATGGGCTTTTGCTGAGTATAATTGTGTACGTGCTCGGTGATAAACACCTTTAACATGCATTACTTCTAACTCCAACATATTTTGGATAGTCCCTTCTCACCGATAACGAGAACCAATTTTTTGATAGAAGATAACAAACGAAATAAGAAGAAAGAAAAAAAAACAGTCACGGTATAAGTGGGCATATTTTAGTTCACTGATTTACGGAACGCCGAGTGCAACTTTCTCATTCCATGAAGTTTACCACATTTTAACTAAATGAACGAATACAAATCATGCCCAGAAAAAAAAAAACAATTCCCTATTTTCAAAATCAATCAGGATAAACGTAGTCCAACTTCATAAGTACCGGTAATGATTTCTCTCTTTCTCTGATATTTTAAACATCCCTTTCCACAGTATACGTGTACAGATTGCATTATAATAACGACAAAGAGATGTACTTTATTACCCCCACCTTTATAAGATGATATGTTAGGATAAATTGTTTCAGATAGCTTTGATGATAAAATTATTAGGGATAATTCAAATTTCCAACTTTTCACTAGAAACTGTATAGAAGACCCAATTTGTTAACCATGAACTTACCCCAACCTTTATAAGATGATATGTTGGGATAAATTGTTTCAGATAGCTTTTACGATAAGATTATTAGGGATAATTCAAATTTCATTTTTTAGATTGCAATTATTATCTGAGGTATCTTATCCTCATTCTTTTGTTCCTAATTATAATATGTTATTATATCCAGATTGCTAGGAAATTAAGTGCAAAGTGTGCTCCTGAATGATTCATACCAATGAAGTCATTCAAATCAATGGCGATCCTTAGCGTTATAGCAATCTTGTCTAAAGGAATTAGATATTGCATATTAAAAATCAGTTCTTTCCATCTTTTAAAGGAGATTTATTATACAGTAAAAGAATTGTCGCACTTTCTAAATATTTTCATTTCCATGTGGAAGAATATTATAGCTGATATATCTTAAATTTACCAATATGAAATACATTCAAATAGTCCTATGTAAAATAGGCGAATATAAAGTTGAGATATAGTAGTGAAATTGATATCATGATGAAAGGAATAAAGTGAAGAAAAATAACCAGGAGAGGAAAAGTAAGAAAGAGGAGGGGGGGGGGAAACGAAACAAAGAAAGAAAGCAAATAAAATAAAATCCAATTACAAAATTCAGTGTACATTCAAAAATAGTTTACAACTAAGGATGTTGTAACTTAATTCACTTTGTTTCGATTTGGATTGTTTGTTTTCAATATGTTTGTTAATTTTGTATTCATGTTGTAGGGCCTCCACGGAAAACAGTATTGAACTAATGATGGAGCCACCCTACTAAAAAAAGACTAATAAATAAATAAATAAATAATTATATTTGTGAAGTTCTTCATGTGTATGTACCCTGGCCTGTATAACATTCGTCTTGTCATTCGTGATTTGTTTTTCTTTTAGTAAGATTTACTCTATTCGTGATTTTTTTTTTACTCTATTTGTGATATTTTTAGTAATTACTAGGCTTCCTTATACTTGATATTTCATATTCATAACACAATTAACCATTTATAATTACTCCTAGACACTTAACAATAAGGCTTTACCAGTCATATGGCTCCGAATAGCCTCATTGGACAACGCCCCTATCGTCAGAGGCCAGCAGCCTAACAAGTTAGCCTATTAAATTTTACCCTCCAAAATCGTTACAAATTAATTTTCTGTTTAAACGAAAAGCACATCCACCCCGACGTATGTTGACACTAGCTCTTCCATTGGAACCCTTATGTCCCATTGACTTTTGAAAGTTCACCCACCGTAATTTGGTCAAAATAGGTCGCTAGCTTGCCATTGCCTATATTAGTCCAGGCTAGAGAGCAAGGAACCATGTTTTTTTTTTTATATATATACAATATTTTTTGATGGTTTCTAGTCGAATCGAGGGTGCTGATTCCGAATCCGATGAGTGCCAGACGCAAAACCTTGAGCATTTCTCGTAAAACGCAAATATACAAAATGGCCGCCAAATCATGAAAACGCTTATTCTTTTGCCGTTTTAACAGGTTATTTGATGTTTTCTTCTCAATTCGAGGGTGCAGAATCCGAATCCGATGAGTGCCAGGCGTAAAACCTTCAGCATTTCTCGTAAAACGCGAAAATTCAAAATGGCCGCCAAAATGGCCGCCAAATCATGAAAACGCTTATTCTTTGGCCGTTTTAACAGGTTATTTAATGTTTTTTTCTCAATTCGAGGGTCCTGAATCCGAATCCGATGAGTGCCAGGCGTAAAACCTTGAGCATTTCTCGTTAAACGCGAAAATTCAAAATGGCCGCCAAAATGGCCGCCAAATGATGAAAACGCTTATTCTTTGGCCGTTTAACAGGTTATTTGATGTTTTCTTCTCAATTCGAGGGTGCTGAATCCAAATCCGATGAGTGCCAGACGCAAAACCTTCAGCATTTCTCGTAGAACGCGAAAATTCAAAATGGCCGCCGAATCATGAAAACGCTTATTATCTGGCCAATGAATATGTTATTTGATGTTTTCTTGTCAGTTCGAGGATGCCTAATCCAAATGCGATGAAGGCCATACCTGAAACATTGAAAATTCAAAATGGCCGCCGAATCATGAAAACGTTTAATTCTAAGGACATTTATCATGTTGCTTGATGTTTTTTGGGCAAATCGAGGGCGCTGATTCCAAAACCGATGATTGCCGGATGCGAACTAGATGCCAATCCCCACTACATCACTTACTATTATGCAGTTTCTTAATTCGTATCATCATAGTATACAAATTGTTTACCTTAGCGCACCCCTGCCCCCCCCCCCCCCAACCAAAATAGTGGGGGTAAAACGCAGGTTAACCCCCCCCCCCCCCTCCTAAAACAAAATTAAAAAAACAGTAAAGGAGTAAAGATGGTTTGTATTTTTTAACCAAAAACAACATAAAAATAATAAAACTTGAATTGAATCACATACAAATTATATTCCATTCGAGGAAAAGAAAAGTTAACAGGAATTAAATTTTCCTAAACATTCCGCATACCCTATATCTATCAATGGTGTATTTTATATAGCGATACGTGCATATCGTAGAACTAGTGTGAGAGGATAGGAAAGCGTGTGTGTTTTTTTATTATAGAAGTGAGAAGACATGAGCCCCTGAACACTGGCATACTAATGGGGTATTTCTAATTCTATACCAGTGATAACAAATATTGCTTGAAATGACATGATTTTCCGGTATTTTTTCTCAATTTTTTTGTAAATCGTACCTTCTTATGCGTTTCTTGGAAAATAACACATTCCCAAATTTACAGTCCGGCCAAAAAATGTGCTTATTTAGGCGCCTTGGATTAATTCTCATGTGCGAGAAGCCGCGTGTTTTTAACCTAAGGCGCCTTGGATCAATTCGAGTGGCAGTAATCACGCGGCTTTATGCAACGCGGCCTAGTTTGCGTGAAAGCCACAATCGTCCGAAACCCTCTATTGAGAAGACGCCATGCGAAAATCCCGCACAAAAGACCGTACGCTCCAACGACTTTAGAACAGTGCACGACTTTCTCATATTGCTTTCAACTGATACCAGTTGACCGCCCTCTATAGGCCATGTAACTCTCAAACTATGCAGGGGCCGCGAAGGCGGGTGGCTAGGGCTTTTTTTTAGTAGACACGTTTCATAAAAGCTCCAAAAAAGGGGTTTATAGATTGTTCGCATGCTCAGACCTCCCCCCCCCCCTACTCTCAAAAACGCTCCGCGGTCCCTGCTATTTAGGGTTAGAATTCAGATTCCCTTCCTCAAAGGGATAACTTATTAAGACAAATTATTTATCACACATTTATACAAGTCATACATTAATGCTTTTTCTTCCTTTAATATGTTTCGCTTTGTTGTAGCTTCATTTGTCTCGTTTTCGTTTCCAAACTTCATTAATCTGTGTTGGGTTATCTTAAACAATATTTGACTATTGGAACATTTATAAACTTATGGGCAATACGCTTGACTAATCATGAAAAGATTGTTTGATAGTTATAAATGAATGGCGCAAAATGAAAGCGCCGTAAAAAAAAGTAACAACAACAACAGCAGCAGCCTTCATTTTTTCTTTTATCCTCAAGCGAGGTTTTTATTTCCATCATTTCAATACATATTTACATTATTAACTCAATGATTGAGTGAAACGAGTGAAAAATAACATAAACATTAAAGTATATACAACAATTCTACCAGCTTAGTATTATTTTCTTTGATTGCACAATCATGCCTAAAAAAATCTTACCAACGACCCAGACTAGACAATCGTTTTAACGTAACATTTTATCAACGAAGAAAATGGATATTACATTTAGAGTTCAGAAATAAACAATATGAAATGAAACAATAGGAGTGATCGAGAGGAAGGAAAAAGAGAGGTACTGAGGAGATGAATTAAGACAAAACAATAGAAAAAAAATCGTGGGAGAGAATTCAGTAACACAATCAACTTGAAGTTATATAAAAATGTGAGGAACAAAAAAAGACCAAAAGTCTATCAAAGGTTTGTCCCCAGGTATATGAAATGAAAAGAATCTAACACAGTTACACGGGTAATAAACAAATTAAAAATAAGTGGTGAAGTGTGACGTCGTCAATAATCTATGTTTTGAATTTCTCAATTTTTTCTTTATTTTTCGAAGGAGCATAAAAAATAATGTCCTAATATTGATAACAATTGAATATGTGAAGTATTGGCTAAGATATCACCATCTGAATAAATATATTTCCTATAGGAACTCAGTGTTATTTGCTCTGGCTCCTAATGACTTTATCTTGGACATTCAACGTTGCCTTTGCCCAACTCCGCGCATTAGACAGTACTTTATTGATCGGATGTCACGAACTATACACGGGTTTACGCTTCCCTTTTGTTACTAGACCCCCCCCCCCCCCTCCCTTCCCTTTCCCTCTCTATCAAACTCACCGTTAAAGGAGAGACAACATAGCATAATAATAAATAAATACAGTACAGACTATATACCGATGCGCCAAACTTTCCCTCCCTCTCTCTCTCTCTCTCTGTCTGTCTGTCTGTCTTTCTCTCTCTGTCTCTCTCTTGTTTTGTTCTTCTTTCTCCTCCGCATCTTTTCTTTCTTCTTCTCACTCTTATTCCCCCTTCTTTTTCTTCTTCTTGTTCTTCTTCTTGCTGTTCTTCTTCGTCTTCTCCCTCTTCTTCTTCTTCATCTCTTTTTATTTAGATACTCAATTTTATGAGAAAAATACACAATAT